TAACACGTGTATTAGTTTTTCATTTTGGTTTTCTTAAAAATAAATAAACAAAATGATTAGTCAATCAATGAGCAACAGGTTGTGTTGTGAGTTAATGGACCTAATTTTGTTGATGTAGTATTAAGGCTTTAGTGACTGTCTAATATTTAATTCAAGCCTCTTAAGTATACCTCAGATAACTATACGCTTATCTTTTATTATTTAACTATCCCTAAATATACCAACATAATATATATGTCTAATACTGCCGATGGAAAGGAAACCTGAAAGAACTCTTAGATAAGGTAATAAAAGGAAGAAAATACTAACTTAGAGTGGCAAGTTTACTGTGTTCTTCCATGGTGGTAAATTTCAATTTTCTGTTTTTATTTCAAGATCATAAAAAAAACGTGAAAAAAACGAAGGCTTGTGTGTCTGATGATCCACAAGCATGTCCTTCCAAGTCCAATCTACAATGTGTTGACAAAAACTGAAAAAATAATTTATCACCATCATGATAAAATTCATCCCACCAAGTTTGCTAGCTTTTTATTTACTCATCTTGAAAGATAATCAAACTAGCATTTAAAAATCGAATTTCTAAACAAACAACTTTTATTTTTACTGCCCTTCAGTGTGTGACATGCTATTCATATGCTAATATCACATGTGGGTATTTGTCCTGTAGCAACCAACAGTGACTGATTTGGCCAGGTTAATATCCTGAATTAGGCTATAGCACTTGCAAAGCACTGGGATCAGTAGTGGAAAATACCCCATGTTATTTATAGAATGACATGTTGTAGCAATATAGGTTGTAGTGCTTGCATATAAGTGGTTGACTTTGCTATATATATATATATATATATATATATATATATGATATGCAAGATAATGATTTTATCCAGTTCCAGATCAGGAATTTTATATTTTACCATCAAAAATTCTGTTTTCCATGATTTTCTATGTTTTCCATCTCCTGTATCATGGTGAACTTGCCACTCTAGACTTACTATTAGCTACAAGAAAACCATGCATAGTTATCAGTAAACGAGTCAACCCAAAGTGTGAATTATGCATTGAAGACACAAAAATCAAGCTGATACAGAAATTTGAATATCTGTATAGTGTAGCCATAGGCAATGGAAAATGTAACAGAAATTCAAAGGCACATAGAAATGATGAAAAATGTCTTTTAGAAACTAAACAAAACATTAAGAATAGGAAAATCTTCTAGAAACTGTATGGAATTGCTATGGAATATTTAATTTTCTCTGTCTATATTTCTGTGATGAGGTATTGTAACTATTTACACTATTTACATCATTCAGACAGTTATCCTCATCTTTATTGATGATATTCCAGGCATTGTATGCTCTACCCTTCTTCAGGTGATATACATTGGAATTTCAAAGCAGACCCCTTTTAGTCCATGGGGAGGCATAGCATGTAGGATTAGAACAATCTACTCTAGTGGACTAAATAATGGGTTTGGTTTGAAATTTCAACATGTATCATCTGAAGAAGGCCGAAACGTAAATATGGTAATAAAGATGAGAACAATAGTCTGAATGATGTAAATATGTAATCTCCTGTATGGTACTCTCTTTATAAATGAAGAGACTTGAAGCAGCAGATTGGATTCTACCAACGAATGGTAAAAATACTGTAGAATGAGTTTGCGTGAATAGATAGAACAAGGACAAAGAGGAATGATGAAGTAAAAGTTACTAAGACCAACAAAAGACAGGAAGATGTAGAGAGCCATGATTGATTACATCATAAAAGTATGTCATATTAAAGTGAGTGAATGAATGGCAGAATAGAGACAAAGAGTCGGACATTGCTTAGAGCAACAAAAGACAGGAAGTTGTGGAGTCATGATCAACCATGTCATAAAAGGGCATGGCATATAAAAGAAGTGAATGGATGGCAGAACAAAGACAAAGAGGGATGGTAAAAGTTCAAGAGTTACTTTAAGCAAAAGAGACAGCCCCAGCCCAAAGTGTAAACTATGTATTGGGGACATCAAAATCAAGTGAGTACAGTAATTCAATTATTTGGATAGTGTAGTAATAGGTGACACCAAAATCCAACAGCAAATATGAATAATGAAGGTTGTGGAGAGCCATAATTGCCCATGTTCAGAAGGGACATGGTGCATAGAAGATCCTTAAATATAAGCTTGCTGCATGTAATCTTAAATTTATAAAAGACTAAAGGCCATTGTTTCAAATATATTTCTTTTTTAACTTGTCAGAATTTTTACATGACACACTCTTATCACCACCATTATTATTATTATTATTATTTACTAGAAATACCTGTGACAATTTCATGGTTTCCTATTTTAATATTCTGATTAATCATGGCGAGTTCTATGACAATAAAATATCTGTAGAAATTTCCCTATCACATTGTTAAATATTTGAGCTTAACAACTTTAAGAAAATATTGCAATAGTAATCATAACTGTGAATGCTGGTCATTATTTTAAATACAAATGAAAAGATTTGAAATTGATAACTTTTCCATTTCACTGAAACAGTGTTAAACACTTTTTTTCTCACTGAAGCCAAGTAGTGTCTCTGCCTTTCCACATGATCAAAATGGAGCAGTTTATTTTTTTTATGAGGTATTGGCATACCATAACAGTTAAACTAAGGGAGGGACAAGCAGAATTATAATTATTAATTTCAAATTAATTTTCCAGCTTTGTATTGTTGCTTTTATTATTATTATTATATTCATATTCTGCAATCACTATATAAGCAATCTCAATAAATAAATTAATAAAAAAAAAAAAAAATTTCCAACGAAATTTTAAACTTTCTTTCCATATCTTTGTGAACTTGTCTGACATGGACATTGGTTTACTAATTTGGCTATGGAATCCTATTAGCAGGCAAAATTTGAATTTAGTCACATAATTACCTTTTTTCTATGTTATATTTTCCCTGAACCATATTGTTTGCTTCCAAGTAGTAGACATTAAAAGTTGTATGAATATCTTAGATGAAACATTATTATTGTTACTAATTTCACTAACACCTTTTTAGAGTTCTAATAGAAAGCAACAAAAATAAGATGAAAGATAAATTAATTTATCTATTCATGTAAACATATTTAAACTTCAGCTTTTCCATCTCTGACTAGGAAAGCAGGTACAACAGATACAAACAACCAACACCGTATTATTTTAACATATCTTTTATCTTTAGGCTGTCCATTTTTGGAAATTTTCTTTTCATTTTTTTTTTTCCAGTGGCTTCTTTCTTCCTTTTCAGACAACTAGATAAAATCAAATCGATACTGCTTAAAAAAAAAAGTTTTTTCTTTTATCAATTGGCTTTGGTGTCATAGCTTATGTATTTCTTATAAAAAATCATTTTCTTTTTATTTCCATTGTGACACAGAAATCTCAATGATTCAAAACTGAAACTAAAATTGTAAATTTAATTACAAAAATTAAACTTAAAAAAATCCAGAGTTTTGTTCCATTGTCAAGTAATACTCTGGATTTTAAATTTAATTTTTATGATTAAATTTACAATTTTAGTTTCAGTTTTGAAACAGAAATTTCTGTGTTGCAATGAAATCATGTTTTTAAAAAATAATTATATTATCTCTACTATTTGTATCAAGAACTTTTTTTTCTTTCTTCTTTAAATAAAAATAATTGCTAAGAACACTAGATTATAAATCTTACTGTTCTTTATTATTATTTTAAAATATGTAAAATGGTAAATAATCTTTATAAAATGTAAAATAATAAATGTCACATTGTACCTGGTTCATGTATTTTTATAATCTTGTAAATAAATGTTGCCAGGGAGTAAAGTGTATACAGTAATAGCAGTATCAAAGGGAATAAATGCCTTTTTATTTTTTTATTTTTTGCAAGCACAAAGATTAAACATTGCCCAATATTTAATTAACTGGCAAGATGGGGTTAATTTTGTTTGCTTTCTTCAGAAATGGAAGTGCAATGTATTGTATTCTATCAAAGTTAATTTCCTTATTGCTTATAAATATAGAATTTATATTGACAAGGCATTAAACAAACTTACTTTTTAATCAATTCAAATATTTTGTGAATGATATAAGACATTAAAATCATCATCAGTCTCTTGACAGTTTTAATCATCAGGGAGGACAGAAGAAACTGACACCCTTCTCCAGGATGATCTGTTGGCAGTAACTCTCAAGAGTTTCAGCATTGTCATGTCCATCTGTTCTTTGATGTCTGACTAGATATTGTTTTTGCCATCCTCATTTGCATCTCCCTTCAACAGTGTCTTGCATGATGGTCTGGCAGAGGCTGTTATGCTGTGTGATATGACCAAACTATGATATCTCCCACTGCTTAATTGACCTTGTTCCATACATAGTCATTGGTTTTGTGCTTGCAGAACAAGATGCAGAAGAGCATTCTCAAGCATTTGTTCTCAAATGTATGGATCCTTTTTTCCTGCCTAAACCGGGAGTGTCCAAGTTTCATATCCGTAAAGGATGGATACAACCAGCAATTTGTAGAGCTTGAACTAGGTATGGAAGCTGATGTTATTTAAAATCAGCCAAGTTTGAAATCATTTAGGATCATAGTTTCATGGTCTTTGAGCTATTCTAGAAATTTATTAAAGACTTGATTTTTCACTTGATACTGGAGATTATTAAAAGATAAGCAAAAATAAGGAAAATACTTTTTAAAATCACTTTTAAATCTTCACAGGTTAAAAAAAAAAAACAATTATGAAGAAATATCTGTAATTTTTAGTTATTTTGTTTTACACAAATAGAGATTACAAAAGGTTTGTAATAGCTTAGTGACCAAGGTATGATTAAATTCAGTAGTCAAATGTAAACTGGTTGGTGCCTTGTCATCTCTATGAGCAGGGGTAGTTTGGGGTGGGAATTTACACCTCTTCAACCACAAGCCATCTCACATTGCTCAAATATTCTATCTGTTCCAGGAAAGCATGCAGGAAAAATGTATACTGTCCAGGAAGGATTCAGAAGACATGGACTCCATGTCCCTTATTTTTTTCCGGATGGATTTTAACAAGCAAGAGTAAGTTTGTTTTTTTTGCACCTTTTACCTTTTCTTATTGTGTCAACAATATGCCCTCAAAGCAGAAATGCAGATATCTTGCTATGTTGGCATCTAACTATGGTCATAGATTTTGAGATGTGTTGATCCAGCTTACGAGGCAGCTTGTAGACGATTACTGAATAATATAATTTTGAGCCAGAGTTGAATGTGAAGTAGTATTCATTTTTATTTATTTATTTATTTATTTTCTAATACTAAAGTTCATCCAATAAGGCTTTTTGCAGTTGGAGGTTTGTATATAAAGGTTGCTTCAATTTTGTACTGGTTCAAATGTGTGCTTAGTTTGGGCATACTGAGCTTGTTCAAAAAAATTGATCATGCTAGATTATACACTCTCTCCCAGAAACTGTAGCTAAGGTCTGTTCAGTGTAATTGCAGTATAAACAACAGTACAGATGTATGTAATGAAGTTTGACTAGCTGCCCTGATAGATCAGTGTGCTTGTAAATGAGTAGTGATTGGCATTTAGATGTACCCATATTGAACTCTAGTTGAGATTTAGTGTCTGTTATCTTGACAGGCAGGTGATGTTTTTGTCAGGAACACAGTTCTCTATAAGGGCATCTAAATTCATTTTTTTTTTTTTTTTTTTTTTTTTTCAGCAAAATGTTATTTCTGATAGTTAAGTTAGATGTTTTTAATTTTTTTATGATAGATAATTAATTTGATATTTTTAGTTCGTTCAACAGGAGTGATACTTTTTTTATGCTTTTTAAAGCAAATCCATCCAGTTTGTAATTTTTGTGTAGCTGGTTACAATAAAGTATATCAATATTATTGCTATTGTCTCCATGAAAATGTGCCCCTTTTTTTATGAAACCTATAATTAATGCTGGATTGCTATTTTAATTTTTATAATTGATATCAGTCCTGGGTATGATAGACTACATCTGGTATCAAGGAGATGATCAGGAGATTGTAGGTTTTGAGGAACATGGAACCAATGCTTAATTGCTGTTGCTCCCAGACTAACCTGGAGTGGTAGCACCTTTTAGGGTCCCAGCTTTGGGCAAATAGTAACCTCCCACCTCAAACAAAACTCTATGAAAGTATAAAAATACATTTTTATAGTAAAATTACTAACAATGCATATTTAGAGCAAAAATGATCAACAATACATTTTATAGCAGAATGACCAACAATACATTTTATCTGTAGTTGAAGGCTTGCAATTGATTTCAAAATCTATTTAGTTGAAGCCATAAAATTGGGTTCAAAATATTTAGATTTCAGCATTAAATAACCCATAGAGGTGTTGATATACCACTAAACAAAATCAACCAAACATCTAATGTGAAAGAACTTTTTCATGACATTAATCCGTATAATATCCTACAATTTCTTAAAGAAATAAAACCTTATTTTAAAATATAACTTCAACAACATAAAACACACATCGTATCACCATCTCTAGTAATTATGTCCACATAAACATGAATATGCACAAAAGCTGTGTATCATCTACCATTTATTCAATCGTGAAAGCAGAATAACATACATCATATTTTTATTACTTCCAAGCTCCCAAGAAAATTAAATTTTAACATTAAATGACCCGTAAGGAGTTGATATGGCATTAAACAAACATAATTAATACCTTATTTTACAGGAGGCATCGATGGGTTAAATTCAGGCTATCACTTTCTTGCTGTTTTTCATAGTGATTAACTTCTGCTTTACAGCCCATTGCTACTTAGTTTCACTGGTTGCCTAATTGAGCGTTTGGTTTTCAAGCTTTGTAAATATTCAGATAACTATAGACTATATCAATCCAGTTGATCCCCTGAAGAGAGTCTGCATCTTGAATGTCTCTAGGTAATTATTTAAGAGGGAAAAAAAAGTTCAGTTTCAGGAAGATGTCTCTTAGGTAGCAACTCTCCATTGCATTTCAGTGGTCAGGATCAATATCCCTGGCATCCCTAAGAGAAGTATTAAGGGAATTAGTGACAAGTATATGAGATCCTACATTAAATCTGACCTTGCGGCAAATTCATTCTCATAGAGAGATGGCTAAATACCTTCTTGGCATTTGTGAGCACAATGATCTATGCATCATGTGAGGATGGGAATTCTAGAACTAGAGTTGATTACAAAATTGTTTTATTGTTGAAATACAGGATACAGAAAGCTCAAAGTTGGTGACTAAGACAAGCTTTTCTAGGGCATATAATAGGAAGTGATATGCTAGGGATTTCTCTTTCTGATTGTGTTTTAGCGAAGAAAGTTTTTTTTTTCTTTTTCCTTCTGCCAATACTTTGTTCCCTTTTAAAATCTTGAATGAATGTTTATAAAATTTAAACTTTTTTTTCTTTGCATAGGCTTGTGGTGGAAAAAAGGGGTAAAGATTTGAGTCATTTAACAATCACTAATCAGGACCGAAAAACATTTACAGAACAGCACAAAATGTTTCGACGAAATTCTGACTTCAATACTGGTCACTCAGTTATGAGTGACAGCTTCCTTATTGTAAGGTCTAAAAGGGCAATCAGCAAACTGTCCGAAAATCCAGTGGTCAATAAAAGTGTTCCTTCTGTTGCGAGTGTTAAGAAAACTGACAGTAAAGTGGTCAAGCCAACGACCATGGCCACTAAGAATGCAAGCAAAATGACCCCAGAAGCAACAACTAAAATCAAAATGAAAAAAGTTGGTGACTACTACACAGCTTATGTAAGTTGAATAATTTTCATATATTTCTAGTTCTAAATTTGTGTGTGTAATCCTGATTGAAATTACTTTTAATGAGATGTCATCAAATAATTTGATTATAGACATGAATTTATTTGTCTTTTGTCTAAAAAATCAAGAAATAAATCCTTTATTTATTTTTTTGTTTTTTTTAACTTTTCTGATTAGACTTCTATTTTATTATGCATTAAAATACCTTTGGGTTATGGATCATTAGTTATTTATTTATTTATCATTTTTCCAATTTTATTTTTATTTTTCTGTATTTTATTCACTTTGTAAAAACAGTAATATTGCTAATAAAAAAAGTAATCTTTTAGAGAGAAAGTCATTCTTTTTATTGCATTGTTATTCTCTTATTGTTATTCTCTTATTGTTATTCTCTTATTGTTATTCTCTTATTGTTATTCTCTTATTGTTATTCTCTTATTGTTATTCTCTTATTGTTATTCTCTTATTGTTATTCTCTTATTGTTATTCTCTTATTGTTATTCAAGAGCATTAGTACAAAAGTGAACACCTAAAACTAACTTGGCTCAGTAATTCTGCTTTTCCCATTATTATGCCATCTAAACATAAATCTTGTGGATAATTTTCTTTTTTTCCAAATGACCGTCAACATAGCCTGATGTGATCTTTTTTTTTTTTCTTTCTTTTTCGTTTATTTCAGTTTCTTGTCTACATAGGAAAAGACAGTGAAGAGGGTCTTTACAACTTGTTCTTTCACAATTGTATAAACTACAAGGGAGCTAACTCTGCAGTGAACTTATCGGTAAATATCTTCTAAATGTGTTAGATTATCAAATAATTTGTTAATCGACTTTGCAGAAGATGGAAACGTTAATTTATAATTGGACAAAACATTTTAGCTTTTCATTTCATTTTTCAATCTTAATTCATTCTAAAGAAATAGTAAAATCCTTTTTATATATAATGAACACTATTAAATTGTTTATAAGAATATTTCTAAAAACTAATACAAGGCAATATTTATCATTTACCAATTTATAAAGAAATGTGAAAACAATTTTTTATTCATAAATTTATAAGCATTTACTAAAATATGTGAACCAAATATAATGAAATCCTTATTATTTACCATTTTATACAGTTTGAATGGATTGGCAATTAGCTGAGGTTTTGCCAACCATTTCAATAAATAATCTAATAAATAATGTTTAATATTTTTGTTGTAAATTCCTATGAACAAAGAAAATATATAAATTCACTTTCATGGTTTTAGGTTTTATTAAAATGCTAATCATCATTTATTGACATTAAACATTGCTGAGGAGTGAAGTTAGTTAAAATAATAGCTGTGTCAAGGGAAAAAATGTCCTTTTGACACATCATTTTTTGTGGGCCTGAAGGTTAAACATTGCCCTAAGGTCTGTCAGTGTGTATAAATTTGTCCGTTATCTTACAAATCATTGTTAGTGAGTTTATTCAGCTAAATGTTACTTTGTTTTAAAAAATTTCTCTTTACTTTCATTTTCTGTGTTACAGTTGACTCTTATCGAGGAGAATAAGGGTAACTATTTATCTGCTGGTGATATGCCTTTGCCAATAATGAATTTTGTGTGTAGTTTTGCCTTCTTTCTCAGTGGATGTGCTTGGCTCTTTGTCTTACAGCGATCCAGGTAAGTATCTCTATTTCTCTTGATTTTTGTTTAGTTTTTTTTTCTTTCTTTTTAGTTAGGAGGATATGGTGTTTAAAAAAAACAACCTACATTTTCATTTTATTTACTTGTTTTTTTTTGTATCTCAAAGTTTATGGTTTTATTGCTCAGTGTAATTTAGGGCTTGTCCAGACTGGGAGGTAATGTATTATCCCAATGTCTTATTTCAGTCAAACAACATGTGTTTGTACATTTGAATGGCACAAGTATTCATGTACAACAGATGTATACATGTGTCCATACAGGAAGAATTAAAAGCATCAGGTATTATTATTAAAAATGTGAACAATAAGTGATGAACTTCATAGAAGTTCACTAAGTTCGTGTTCTCTAAGAAAAACTCCACTACTATTGAAAAAACAGAGGGACGCCCAGTTAAAATTTGTTTGTGAGCATAAGAATAAACATGAATCATTTTGGGAAAGTGTTTTATGGACAGATGAAGCAAAAATTGAACTGTGTGAGTAATTCAAGAAATCACATCTGGAGAAAAGTTAGAACAACTTTTTCACCGAAGAACACAATCCCAACAGTGAAATTTGGTGGTGGCAATATCATGGTGTAGGGATAGCTTTCTGCTAATGGTACTGGTAATTTAGAGATAATAGATGGTAGAATAAATTCAAAAATATGTTGACGTACAACATAATTTGGCTTCATCTTTTTGTTAAAACAATTTATAATAAAGAAAACTAAAATTTATATATATATATATATATATATATATATATATATATATATATATATATATATATATATATATATATATAATATTTTATCTCTTAAATTGAAAAGTAAAGTAACTATGATTCTATATGATTCTAAAATTGCTTTTTTTTTTTTTTTTTCCAGTGAGGATGTTTACAAAATGCATTACTTGATGTTGGGTGTAGTTTATGTGAAAAGTATTTCTTGTCTCTTTCATGCAGTAAGTTTTCATCTTATATTTTTTATTTTTTTTCTCTTTCTTGACTACCAAAAATTAAAAAAAAAAAATAAAACTAGTATCTACCAAAAGTGTTTTTACCTATTACGTGAGCTGTCACCCACCAAATTCTGTGATCCTGCAATGCCTGAATCAATCAGTATTTGATTCATGACACACCTAGAGATGACGAATTTTTAATCTGACATTATTTATCATCACAGATATTCTTTAGTGGGTACATGTATTTGAGTTAACATCACTGTCAGGTTTTAAAACAATGGTGGTTGGTTGATTTTGTTTAGTGACATATCAACTTCTATGGGTTATATAATGCAGAAATCTAAATATTTTGAATGTAATTGTATGCTTTCAATTACAGATAAAATGTACTGTTGGTAACTTTGCTATCGGTGGGTAGTGTTGGTAACTTTGCTATCGGTGGGTAGTGTTGGTAACTTTGCTATCGATTGGGTAGTGTTGGTAACTTTGCTATCGATTGGGTAGTGTTGGTAACTTTGCTATCGGTGGGTAGTGTTGGTACTTTGCTTGGTGGGTAGTGTTGGTAACTTTTGCTATCGGTGGGTAGTGTTGGTAACTTTGCTATCGGTGGGTAGTGTTGGTAACTTTGCTATCGGTGGGTAGTGTTGGTAACTTTGCTATCGGTGGGTAGTGTTGGTAACTTTGCTATCGGTGGGTAGTGTTGGTAACTTTGCTATCGGTGGGTAGTGTTGGTAACTTTATCGGTGGGTAGTGTTGGTAACTTTGCTATCGGTGGGTAGTGTTGGTAACTTTGCTATCGGTGGGTAGTGTTGGTAACTTTGCTATCGGTGGGTAGTGTTGGTAACTTTGCTATCGGTGGGTAGTGTTGGTAACTTTGCTATCGGTGGGTAGTGTTGGTAACTTTGCTATCGGTGGGTAGTGTTGGTAACTTTGCTATCGGGTGGGTAGTGTTGGTAACTTTGCTATCGGTGGGTAGTGTTGGTAACTTTGCTATCGGTGGGTAGTGTTGGTAACTTTGCTATAGTTAGTGTTTTTTTTTGGGTAGTGGGTAACTTTCATAGTTTGTTTTTTTTTTTTGCGGGGGGATCTATTTGCCCATTGCTGGGACTGTAACAGGTGCTACCACTCCAGATCAGGGTGGACCTGAGAACAACAGAAATTAATTTGTGATTCCACACTTCTAAAAACCTCCCATCTCTTGAAAAGATGCTATGCTGCCAGGTGTAGTTTATCATACCCAAGACTTTTTAAACAATAAAATTTATATCAACCTGCCTAGAAATTGACAAGTCTTTACTAAAGAAAAATGTGCTTTGACAAGAATTGAACCTGTATTACCTTTTCCATCGGGGGAACCACTTGTTTAGCCAATGTGTACCCCTACCAATTAGATCATGAGAAACTGTCATAAGGCAAGGCTTGATTACCTTTTTAATGAATGCACATCACTCATTGGGATTTTTTGAAGTTCATAACTACTAGCTTTTTATTCATACCTGAAACAAATCATTATTAAATTGGTTTTTAATACAAATGACTTTGCACAACAAATGATATCTTTAGTGTGTACACTTGTTTGTGCTGACATCTGTTTCTGTCTATACAGTGCAATTGATGGCATTTAAAAATTGTGAAAAAAAAATCAGAACACATAGGCCTCTATATAATAAATAAAAATGAAAGGAAAACGTGGCCGACATGTTTCATCCTTGAACAGACTTTATCATGGCGAATGTCAGGATTTTATTTATGCAACAAGTATTTATAAACAAAAGTAAAAATGTTAGTTTTACAAAATGTTTAAATATAAGAGACATTCATAAATACTCATCAGGTTAACTGAAAAGTTTAGGTAAATTATGGAAGATGCTAAGTAACATAATTTAATGTCTAATAAATGATAGTGAGTAAATGATGAATTTATTTTTAAACACTATTTTTCTTCTTTCTTTTTCTTGTTTTAACTCCACTTAGTACAATTAGCTATTCACATATAAAAAAAATCTTTTTTTCTTTAAATAAATTAAAAAAAACAGACATGAAAAACAAATACAATACCAGCTTATATACAAAATCTTTATATGCAAATGTTCCTGTAAAGAAATGCCTAAATTTACTCAAAACATACCTAACAAAAATAAAATGACCTATTCTCACATTTGCATGAGGAAATCCATCAGGTGACAAAAGGCATCACCTTATGTAAATTTACCTTTTGTTTTTATTCATATTGCCCTTTATCAGATGTATTATAGTTATTTGAGATTTTTACACACGTGTGCGTGATAGAGATATATATATATATATATATATATGTGCATGCTCTCGATTCTCCCATCAAGCAGATCATTTCCTAGGAAACCGACAGCCCGACAACAGCACATGAGATTCGATTATAGTGGTGAAGGTTTCGTGCAGGACTATTTTTTTTTTTAATAAGTTTTCAGGAATATTCAGGCCGATAGACAAAAATAAAATACTGTTGTAAAAAAAAAAAAAATATAAAAAAATAAATGTGATATCTCAAATATGAGTATATGAGTATCCACTAAAAATAACATGGTATTGTGTGTGTGTGTGTGTGTGTGTGAAGAGTAAAACCAATTGATGGTAAATTGGGATTTGGCATTTTTATAGAACATGTAAATTAAGTAAATATTTGAAAGAATCTCATTTTATTTTTATTTCAAATGGAAGAATTGAAAAGAATTGTTTTACTGTATATACTTGCGTATCATGTGAATTTTGAAGCTAATTTTAAGGGGGTCTCATCATACATGAGATATAAAATTAGCGTATGTACTGCTGGACCTGGTTATGCTGTTGACCAAACTATATATCCATTTACTGTAGCCAAAAGTACAGCTGTCTTTAAAATAAGCATGATTTTGATAAAACTGATTTTACTTAACTGTATCCAATAATAATGCATATAATATTCACATATTAGTAAAATACTGATGAGACTGAAAAGTGATAGGAAAAGGAAAAAAATCAAATAATTATGTCCTGACTCCAAAAAGAAGTATTGAGCAAAATTTCATGGGAAAATTAGCTCAGGCAGAGGTGTTGTAATGGAATGTCCCACACTCCCTATCGCCTCTGTGAATTGACTATATCAGTAGCTATATATAGTGAGCACAAGATATACCTGGGGGTCATGCTTCAGGAATTACTAGCCTGCCACTCACTTCCCTGTCTTTCAGTAGTGTGTTCTCTTTTACAATAAACCTCTCTTCTTTCATCTAAATGTGTGTTGCTGTTCCTTTCACTCAAGTACCACCTTTGTCTGTTTGTAACCTCTTTAAGGATACAACAAAGGCAAACATAGCAAATATGAATCTTTTTCCATTGTTTACAAGATGTCTAGCTGTTTCTTGTTCTGTTGTTTATGGCTATACACATTTATGCAATGAGTGTAGCATTACTAACAATAGTTTTATCATTCTCTTTTGCTTTTTTTAACTAGAACATGGGATAAAGAGATAGAGGAAAAGAGGTTAATATATTTTGATTTGGTCTCTCAAAAATGGAGCTCATGATATATAAGATACATAAAATCATTTTTTATAAATGAAAATTTGGGTGTTGTACATTATACAAGTATATACGGTAATCATTAGATTTACTGTCAGAGTAGACACCTGGCAAAAAAAAAAAAAAAAGATCTAGAAATATTTTGTCTCCCAAGTGGTTAATATTGTGAGCATAAATTTTGTTTCTGTATTCTTTTTACCAAACTTATCCTTGATGATTTTTTTTTTTTTCTCCAGATTAATTTTCATTTTATTGAAACAAAAGGGATCCATGAAGAAGCTTGGGCCATTCTATATTACATTGTTTACCTGTAAGTAAATGTTGTCACTTCACTAAAAAAAATCTCTCGTATAGACATTTACCAAGTTTGTTGCTATCTAGGAGAAAGCCAAACAGCAGATAGGAATATGTGTTGCACTAATCTTAAAAGTGGGAAGAATTTTGCCAGTCTTGAAGATGAACATCTGGAGTTTTACCTGAACTTGACCATTCCCACTAGTGAGAAAATGTACAATTACTTCTGCCAACAAATAAACTCCAACTCCATTTTGATATTCTATGAAATACTTGCTTAAATACAAGTGAACCACATTTAGCAAATTATTATATAAATATTTTGGAAGGGAAATAGAAAAGGATTCATGTTTAAGAATGATGGTATGCATAACTGATAGAATTGGTATATTACCTTTTTGAATAGCTTGGCAGACGTTTTGGGAAGAGGACCAATGTACCAATAATAGGAGTTGACATGCCGTTAAATCCAACATCCATCCATCCAATGTACCAATGTTTGTTTTTACTTTCAGACAAAAAAAAAAAAATCTAAGTAAAATATGTATTATAAGTTGATAGTGAGGTCAACAGCAAGTGGTAACAGTCCATTTCAGGCTTGAAAACAATCTTCAGGCCTGAATATTGCATTCAAATATGAAACAAACTGTTACCACCCAATGTTGATCGCAGTGTCCACTTTTATATTCACACAAGCTCTCTCTGATATTGAGCACTTTTATCCATAAATATAGTGTACCTTATTTAATAGGCCGGTTAATGAAATTTGAGGAATGAAAAGATAAAATGATAACAATGTTGGTAATAAGATTGATATTTATTATATTTTAGCCTTTTGACTAAATTTGTTTTGATTATTTATATGATGTAATTGGAGACTAAAGTGAACACCCAGAGGAAACAGTCTGTTTCCTGCTTAAATGCAATCGTGTTAACTTCAATGTCCACTTTTATATTTACACACACTCTATTCATGATATTGAGCACTTTAACCCATAAATATAGCATACCTTAAAAAACTATATTTTATCAACAATACAAATCTATTATGCCCAACAAATGCATACAAATTAGTAAAATTTAATGCATTTAATGGTGATCAAATTCTTTTTTCAATATGAAAACAATATCAGCTGACCAGTGTTCCTTATGCAGCAGATATATTTAATAAAGAATTCAATAGATTTATCAAATCCTGACAAACAGTATGTCATTGAAACTTGAAAGTAATTTGCATTCATTTGTTGGGCATAATAGATTTGTATTGTTTTAGGGCTGGCTAAACTTTTTTAATATAAAAGCCAAATACAATAAAGTTCAGATGTTTGAGTGCTGCAATTTACACATGCTTTTTTTTTTTTTTTTATATACATTTTTATATAAATATTAAATGCATGTATGCAATAATATCTATTCATGTATGCAGTTTTTTTAAACTGTTAATTTGTATTGGTTCCAATAATCACAAAGTATATACACATAACACTCTTGACTGATGATTAAAACAAAAACAATTAAATACACTCAATATAATTAAAACATCTATATTGAGTGTATTTAATACGATAATGAACTACAGGAAGGTCTAAAAAAAATGTACAAATTTGCATTTCACTAACAAAATTATATATTTACATGACATGAGTGTGATTGGATATATAAACAAAAAACTTATTTTTTAAACTTAATTATAATTTTAATATTATTATTATTATAGTGACTTTATCACCTTGCTTGGGGTGAAATGATTGAAAAAAGATGTCATTACAACATATTCCTTTTAGTTGGCTGGATGAAATGTCACAGCTGCTTGCATTTGGCTCACAGATTTTTTTTTTAATCACTTCACCCCAGTAAGGTGGCTAAGGCATAAGCGGCTAACTGTGAATGAAAGAATCAGAAAAACATTAAGGAGAGAGGATAATAAAAGAATAGGATTCAAGGAGACAGAAGGTGAGAATTAAATTTTTAAAGATAATGATTGACAGGAAAGCAAGTAGGTCCAAGGATAGAGGACACCCACATTAATGTAAAAAGATCTAGAAGAGTGGGCATTCAAGACAACTTTCATTTTGCAATTAGATAAGAAAGATTGAATCAAATCAAAAATTCACCCAGAAACACCATAACTTTTAAACTTGTGAAAACCAGCATACCAGATCTTGTCAAATGCATTTTGAGATATCTAAGCCAACAGCCTCACCATTAATACTTAAAGTGGTCATAAGTTTTAAACTTAAAGAAATGGTTGCATTCTTGTTAAATGAATTAAACCCCAAAATATTATGAGGAAAAAGAAAACTGGACTAATTCAAATAACTACAAATATTTAGAAAAAAAAATTAATTTAATCTTCTAACAAGTAGTCAAATGCTGATTTTTTATGAGAGTTATTTGCCTGCTTATCATCAGGTTGTAGGTTCAGATGGCCATAGAGTAGTTGTGACCCAAACTGAGTCATGGCTATTTTGTCTCTTCATGCTATCTTTGATTAACTAATTTATTTTTCCTTTGGCACAGAATGAGAGGTGCTCTACTCTTTACCACAATTCTACTCATTGGTGCTGGTTGGGCATTCATCAAGCATATGCTGTGTGATAAGGAAAAGAAGCTTTTCATCATCATAATTCCATTGCAGGTGAGTTGGCTATTACTGGAAAATATTGTTCTTTGTTAAACAACAATAACATATATTAAATGGTTTGATTGGCTAAATAGGGCAACTGTTGTGAATGTCTGAGGTGTTCAGCAGCCTGTGTGTGTTACATTTTTTTTGTACTGATTTTTTTTTTTTTTTTTTTTTTTTTTTTTGTTTTAGATACTTTTTTGATTTCTTTATATATATATATATATATTTTTTTTTTCTTTTTTTTTTTTTACAAAAGAAATTTGTTTAAGAGTGTAGGTATATTTTTTCCACTCTCCTCACACATTAATTTTCTCCTAATCCCATTTTCCTTCTGTTTTTTTTTTTTTTTTCCCCTCTCCACTCTACTGCCACTTTCAGGTTCTTGCAAATGTAGCCTGGATAATTGTTGAGGAAAGTGAAGAAGGCCAATCACAGTACACAGTCTGGAAAGAAATCTTCATTCTTGTTGACTTGCTTTGCTGTGGTGCTATTTTGTTCCCAGTTGTATGGTAAGCTTATTTTTTATCATTATCAAATAAATGGAAAATAAATTAAAAAAAAAAAATTTAGTGTTTCACCCTTCTTTTCAATTTTGTTTATTCCTGGAGTTGAATGGAGTAATGGAGTAAACCATTCATAAATTTTACTTAATGGCTCTAAGCACAAGAAAACTGATGCCAGCAATTTGAATGTCAAAAGTTGTACCCCGCCTCCCACTTTTTTTTTTTTTTTTTTTTTTTTTTTTTAATATTAATGTGAAAGCTGTTTTAAGAATGAAAGTACTTTCACGAACTGCATTCCTTGGTTATGAACAGTTAAAACCTTCAGGGCAGTGACACTCCATGTCACTTACATTGTAGAAAATTGTGTAATGGATAGTAGCTCTGGATTGTTAATCAGAGAGCTGAGTTTTAATTCCCATTGGTTCCGTTATATTCACTTATGCGTAAATAACTTTGGGAAAGGTATGAATCTACTTCTCCTCTCAGCTATGGGTTAATTAGTAAGACTTCTATCAGTAACTCATTCTCCCAAAAAAAAAAAAAATCCTTACAATCTAAAAATATTCTCTGGCAATGGGTTGATAAGCCATAGAAAACAAATCAATCATAACTTTTACTGCAATATATTGTTATTCTTAGTTATTGTTGGTAATCTGTAATTACTCTTGAATTATAAATTAAACTTTTATCATATACAATGTACTGGCCATACTAAGGAATTAAGAATATGTCTATTTTCTAGTAAATTTTAGATTATTAGCTACAATAGACTTGCACACCATTTATTCTAGTAATAGAATTGCTATTGTAGACTTAATAGAAATTGTTGAAAAATAAGACATCCTTAATGCTCAAGTAGAGCCACGTTCATAATTGATGTTAAGGCTGGAATTAAGAATAGATTTACTTACTAGCAATTTTTAGACTGTCTACAATAGTACTTACTTGGTATTGATTTTAACGTTTGCAGTAGTAAGATACCATTTGTTATAATAAAATGCTTCAAAATGGCTAATAGATTCATTGAATTAAGTTTGGAAAAGAAAAAATTTGTTTGCACGCAATAAAAAATATAATAAAAAAAAAAAAACTTAAGTGCTTTGTCAGTCTTGTTTAACAATACATATTGAAACCCAGTACTGAACCCTATATATGCTACGTGTGGTAGGGAGTAGTTTTCAAACATATACAGTGGGGTACCTGTGAATATCTATGCACCATAAGCTGTTCATATTATGGACAACTTGATAGAAAATTTCACTTGAGTACATTTCTTTTCACATTTCTTTGTTGCAGGTCCATTCGCCATTTGCAGGATGCCTCTCAGACTGATGGGAAAGCAGTGATATCGCTTACCAAGCTAAAGTTATTCAGGCAATTTTATATTTTAGTAAGTCAGGATTACCTATCCCATTGAAATTATCCTGTTCACACTCCTCCCTTCTCTTTTGAATAGGTGTAGAGGTTTCCCTTGTTTTCTGCTTAGGATTGGGTTTCTGGTTACTTCGGAAGTCTGCTCTCAGCTATATTCCTAATGTCTACACCTGATCTCTGAAATTTCATTCACTATTTATTTCATTTTCTTTCTCTCTCCACCAATAGGAGTAGATAGGTTTGTCTATCATCCAATTCACACTTGCCACCAGTATTTTGAACAGAAGTAGAGGTTTATCCCTTGATTCTTGTTTAGAACTGGGTTTGCAGTTTCCTCAAACCCTCTAATTTGAGTGGCTCTTAGGCATTATATTGGGTGAACAGTAATTTAAAAAAAAACAAAAAAACATAAAACCTTGCCCATCTGTTTCTCTCTCAATCCACTGGTAAGTGGGTTTATGCTTCTACATCTATTTATTTATATAATTATATATATACACAGATGCAGAAAAATTATGAAGTTGAATTAACTTTAAGAAACCTTATCAATAGTAACATGTTGTTGAATGAATTTTTTTTTTTATTTTAATCAATTCACCACAAGCAAAGTGATAACATCATTGAGAATGAATGAGAATATTTTAGAAGGAAGCAGGTAACCTCTACTCCTGTTCAAAGGATGAGGGAGGGGTGTGAAAATATAAACTTATTATCATGGTAAAATACCACTTGTGAGATGCCCAGAATGAGTTATATATATATATATATATATATATATATATATATATATATATATATATATAGCAGTAGAGCCCGGGATGTAACAGTAGATAGATCAAGTATCAACCAACATAAAGACTAAAAAATAAAATTGACAAAGATTATTGTTTTTAGGTTGACGGACATGCATGTCTTAATTATTTTTTTTTTTTTTTTTTTTTGAATTGGTCAAACTCAAACAAAAACATTGTTTTCAGTTGTTATGAGTCTACTGATTGAATAGAATTTTATTATAAACAATTGTCTTGTAAATGGAATTTTTAAAGCATTCTGAATGAAAAAATAAAGAAAAAAGTGTGCAAGACAATAAGAAACACTATCTGTCAAAAGAAAAAAAGTGAAGTTTTGTTGAAATTGGTTGAAAAATGTAGGAAATCCGATCCCATATATAAATGAACACACACACACACACACTGGGTTTTATAAGTAAAACTCGATATGAGTTGTCCCCCTTTCATTCTGTCTCTTAATCGTGTTTTCAAATTGATTTTGTGCAAAAACAATTGTTTTTCCAATTTTTGGCGCTGTCAAAACCACCGCAAGGTAATTTTACATAGTCCTGTGAAGTTTTGTTGAAATTGGTTGAAAAATGTAGGAAATCCGATCCAATATATAAACGTACAGACACACACACAACCTGAGTTTTATAATAAGTATGATTTCTTAAATTTTATTTTTCAGATTGTTTGCTATATATATTTCACCAGAATTATTGTCTACCTACTGAAGGTAAGTACTTTGGCTGGCTCTCTCTCTATATATATATATATATATATATATATATATATATATATATATATATATATATACACACACACACAGTGGAAAAAGTTTTCGTATGACATATTTCATGTTATGTTGGTGCGGCAACATATGAACAAGAGATGCTGGGAGTTAAAAAAAAAAAAAAATACTCCACTGATCAGAAGAGAAAACAATTCAATACAAAAATGTTTAGAGAATGCCTTGATTGCAATGACATTCACAGTAAATTTGCATCCTGGATATCTAATAATGAAAGTGATGGGAGAGAAAAAAAATTCTTGTTTAAAATTCTCAGCATCCCTTGTTTATGTGTATGTGTAGTCACACCAAATTTAGTCCAAGGAAGTCCTAAAAGGTTAAACACAAACTTCTCACTTTTATCATTCATTTCCCCCCAAATATCATTCTCTCACTTATATACTTTATTTATATGAAAATTTCTCAGAGTTAACCTGTAGAAAAGACAATAGTTATAAATGACAATAGGAAAACTGTAGTTAGTGCTGACATGTTTCAGTTAACAATATGAAAATAGCATTCTCTACATTCCTCCAGTTGCTAAAAACATTGTTTTTTTTTTTTGTTATTATTAGTTGCTTTCTCAATACAGAAAACGAAATGAATTTAATTAAAGAAAGTCCACATTGAAACGTGTCAGCAATAACTAGTTTTCCTATTGTCATATATATATATATATATATATATATATATATATATACTTACACATCTAGGTCTCTGTAAAAGTTTTTTTTATTTCACCTTTAACAATCTCTGGACAAAAGTTATATAAAGAAACCAATTCAATATGCACAATTTATTTTTAACCCTAAGTTAGTGCTCTTTTGTTATAATCTTATGCCAGACTAGGTATAGATATGTGCCTACAGATGAAAACACTAAGTAACCTATGCATAACTATGTCAATACAGAAAACAAGGATAACTTATTGCTCCTAGCTTAAATCTGATAAAGTCCTGCAGCTGTTGGATAATTTGGTTAAAATTCTTTAAGACAGCGAAATTACATTATTTGATTTTATTTTATTTATTTATTTATTTTTTTTTTTATGATCTTTATTCAAATTTTACTCAAACTTTAAGCAAAAAGCTAATTCCTACCCTATTTCTAGTGATAGTAATACCCGGTTCCTCTCTGGTTGATGAGCAACTGTTTCAACAGTTTTTTAAAATATGACTTTGATTTCTTATTTTGTTGTAGTCATGCCACTTTATTCTTGTCCTCTTTTGAATTCCAGATAACTGTGCCATTTAAATATGAATGGTTGGATCCAATGTTTAAAGAGATGGCCACCTTTATCTTCTTCATTGTGACTGGATATAAATTCCGGCCAGCTTCGGATAATCCTTATTTGCAAGTCCCACAGGACAGTGACGAAGAAATTGAAATGGAGGAAGTGTAAGTGTACCAATTCATAGTAAGAAAAGTACATTTTAAAGAAAAAGTTTCTCTTTCTTAAAGAGAGCATTTCTTTTCATTGAGAGTTTAAGACAAACTGTTTGGATTGACAAAGAGTTAGCTTTCTGTACCACATTTAAGTCAAGTGTGACTACCATAGATTTGACAGACACTGTAGTAAATGATTTTTTGGGGGTGGGGGAGGTGAATAAGTTTAACTGAGTCCCGCCAGCCTGATCATACATGCTAGTCATCTTTAAGCGATTTTCAGTCATAGTTTCATCACAATGTGACAAGTATAACTGAGTTGTAGATAAGTTTATTTCTGAAAAGGAAAACTCTGTTTGTTGTCATTTGATGAACCAGAAGGAAAAACGGAAGTTTGCTCTTTCATCAAAATAATTTATTTTTTATTTGTCAGTTATGTTTTCTTTGTAAATATCCTGATTTCTATGGGCACAGTGAATGGAAAACTAGTTAGTTCTCTATTACTTATGAGTTGGGGGGGGGGTGTAAGTTTTCAGCTTAGACCCTTTCTTTTCTTAGTCACAGTGACAATTCTACAGCAACAATAACTTTTCTCTTTCCACCTACTCACAGGTACTGATTTGGATTGTTACCTTAAAATGTGTTGTCATAAATGAAAATTAGTTTTGGGTATCAAACCTAATATGATGAATGAAGGCTCCTAAATAGTTTTTTTTTTTTTTTTTTTAGAAAAATTACTTTGGATTTGTTCTTGCCAAAAAATAAAATTAATTTACAATATTTTATCAACATATCATACAGAAATTAAAGTATTTTCTTCTTGAAAATATGGGGAAATTCCCCTCCTCTCTCATTCTTTTGAGCTGCCTAATGTACAATCTGAAGTTATATATACAATTTTATTTTTAATTGTAAGTTTTAAATTTAATGTATTTTTTTTTTCTCTTATTATTTGAGGAATGGTAAAATTGTTTTTTTTTTTTTTTTTTTTTTTTTTTTATAGGAATTTAGTCTTCAACAAAATCTTCTTAAACTCTGAACTTCTTTGATAGAACTCTATATTATACTCTTTCTTTTTTAAGGAAAAAAAAAAAAATCATTAAATACCAAATTTCCAGAGTCCTACAAAACATTCTAACTTTAGAATTTATTACATTTTTTTTTCTTCTCTTGCTGCAGCCTAACCAAAAATGGAGCCCTTGAGACAGTAGTAAAGGTTAGCCGGACAAAGGAACAGCAATCAGCTGACAGTGGCACCAAACAGAGAGAGAGCAGTCATGAATATGATTGATTGGTGGGTGGAGTTGGGAAGGGGGAGCAGGTAAAAATCATATGGGGAAATTCTGAAAAAAAAAAAAAAAAAAAAAATTGTTAAATTATATATAATTCTGTATGAGAGTGTATGTTATATAAAAATAAGTGTAACACATTTTACAACTGTATCTAAAGCTTTTAAGAGTATAAATATATAAAGAACCAAGTCTTTGTAAGGTTGGTAAAGTGAATAATTTATTTATTTTTTTTTTTTTTTTTTTTTTTTTCTTAAGGCACCATAAAAATTTCAACCATAATTTCTAATTCATCTTTACTAACAAAAAAAATGTCTTCAATTAAATCACCATTTGTTTCCATGAGTAATTGGTGATTTTTTTTCTTCTTTTGAAGTCAGTTGCCATTGAAAATAAGTCCTGACAGTTTACTTAAAAAAAAAAAAAAAGAAAATAAAGAAACTGAGAGCCATAAATATCGAGTTTAATTACTATCATTTTTTTTAATACTACTAGTCATCCATTTTTTTTAAAATTATTTTTGTAGTGTGACGAATGAATTACTTAGGCCTATTATGGACTAATTTGACAAAAGGTATATGGAAAGAACCTTTTCTTGGTCCACAAACTCTCACTTTCATGCTATCAGTCTTTTGAAACTGATGCCAATGAAGATCATCTTAATTTGTACATTCTTAACTAAAAATAGGGTCATTAATTAAAAAGCTATCCTAAAGAGGAGGAGGAATAATACACACCTCAAAAAAAGTGGCCAATATAGAACTGTATTCTTGCTTTTTTTTTTTTTTTTTTAAAAACAGGATTTTTATTGATTCTTAATATAACATGCACGATATGTGATTATATATAATTAAATTATTTGACTTCCCCCTTTAGACAGGGGGAGGATAATATCTCTGACTGTAAAGTCATAAAAATGGGAACTGCTTGCGTTTGAGAGAGTGGATATATGTATGCATGGCTGTAGATGAATGAATGTGTTATCCCAAGAGAGGGTGGGTGGGGTTAAAAAAAAAAAAAAAAGACGACTATTTGCACTTGTTACGCCTATAAGGGTGAGTGCAAAGGAGGTAACTCTTGCTCGTGGAGTTACGTCTATGAAAGTTGAGGGGAAATGTGTACGGGAGGCAACTCTTCCTTTACCTCGGCTTAAAAAAAAAAAAAAAAAAAGTTAAACCGGAAACACGTTATACCAAACAAAAAGACGTTGAAGAGTTGTTTCTCTTGTGTGGCATGACCTTTCACTGTAAGTGAATGTGTTGTTTTTTTTTTTTTTGTCATTTTTCTCTAAAGTTGCGGGTGGAGAATAAGACTGCATCATATGAAGAAACATGAACTGCGCTGTAAACTAACTGTTTCAGTGTCCATATTTTTTTTTTCTTTCTTCTTTCACCTGGACATTGGGACTAAATTTATTGAAGAAAAAAAAAAATTGCCAAATTATATATTATTTTTTTTCTGTTTTTGTCAGATTTCACTTTTATTCAAATTTTTTTAAAATTTTTTTTTATTTCATATTTCAACATTGAGTGATATGGAAACCTGTTGAAATTAAACTTGCACATAAATGCATTTGCACTGTCGTTTATTTAAAAAGTGGCTTGCTACAGGTTCCCAGACCCCCCCCGTTAAATGTAAATAAAATAAGCAATTTGCAGGGATGCACTATTAAAATCAATTTAAAGATAAATGTTTAGTGTAAATCCAAATCCCTTTTTTTTTTTTCTTTCTCCAGATAAACTTTGCAAGCTGGTCCCAGAGACCAGTACAATCACACACTTCCTTATTCATCTAAACCAGAATGGGAGGTGGGGTACACCTACTTCTAACTCTTAATGCCTGCCATATATATATATATATATATATATAATTATATTTTTTTTTTTTTTTTTTTTTTTAAACAGTTGGCATCAACTCACTTGATATTTTACTCAGTTAAATAAAAGCCTGTACAATGAATCACCCATTCATTAAACCTATTATTTTGAAATATTGGTTGTTATAGACATGTTGCATACTACTTTTTCTAATCCCAGGGGCAAAATAACATCAAGATAAAACTATCAAGATGAGAACAGTAGTTTGAAAATAAAATATATTAACAATTACTCCCCCCCCCCCGAAAATGAAATATAAAAAGTACTTGTTCCTGCATTTTTCTGCCCCCAATGCCCTCTAGAAGGGGTTTCAGCTTTTACTCCACCCCCAACATTCTCTTAACAAAAATGGGGACTATAACCTTAAAACCTTCATTATGTTTCCCCAGCAATTCAGCTCAACTATGCAAAGTCTTGTATGTAATTATAACAGAGACATCAATTTAAAGCAAAGTTTTACATCTGGAATTTTGGAGGGGGGGGGATCAGAGCAAGAGATCTATTTCTTCTATGAAAAAAATCACTTTAGTAAGACAAGGCCAAGTGGAAGGGTTCCTCCTAACAGAATCATAAACCATGTGTCCATGACAAGCAAATGTGCTCTGAACATGGATGGGCTCCATTAAGACTATACATGAATACCTAGCAATCTTACAATTACACTTGGACAGGGTACTGTTTATAGAGAAAAAGAAAACTATAAAAAAAATATTTTGAAATACTGTTAAGTCATTTGGCACAAAGCATGAGGACAATAAAAATTAAGTTCACAACTCATTATCTGCAAGACCATTCTTGAGAGAATTTATTTCAAGGTATTAGTCGTGTGGAGGATAGGTTAGCATGCTCGTTTTCCAAACAATTTAAAAACACTTTTTTCTTCCTCTTTCTATTAAACTGTTCACCCCTTTCTGCCATTTTCAGTATTTTAACCATTGTGTTCATATTTTGGGAATGTCAAACCTTGATCACACATGTTACACTAAACACTCCCTCCTCTCATACACACAGCTTTTACACATGAAACCCATCTATTGGACTTGTGAGCTTACATGGTTTACCAATGTTTAAGGTTTTAAACAAAACCGAAATAAAATAGCTTAACAATCCTTGTTGCAGACACAATATAAACTACATATGTGGGTAAGTATGCTAAGCAGACATTATACATTCTCTTCTAAAAATTGTAACTAATCTTGCATCCTCAGCAGTTTGAACAAGGAAACTATTTCACTAACAATGCCTGGGTCAGGCCATAATGCAAAGAAAGAACTGAAAGAATGGCACACACAGAGCCTTTGCAGCTAACAATTGGCCTGAGTGGAGTGAAATACCATCTTTGTGAATTTACTGAGACATTAGGTTTATAAGTCCCAAAAATTCATACTCTGATGGCCCAGTGGATAAAAGTATTGGTTGAATCCAGTGACTTGACCCAAAGAGTCCTGAGTTCAATACCCAACTACGGGTGAACAAAAAAAAAAAAAGTTGAATTAAAGGGAGATAACTGATACGCCTGAAAAAGTCCGGAACTAGAATAATCTACCCTGGTGGACGAAGTTTGAAATGAAGGCTAGATCATATCATGGCTGAAACTGAATAATTACAGAACTACAGACAGCCATTTGAGATTCAAGAAAGACAAAATTATATTGTCTGGCACACAAACTTAGCATCAATTCCTAGTAAGCTGGAACTACTGTAGAAACTCCATCTACAGTATATTTTTTTTTTTCTTCTTTTTCTATTTAAGGCACTCGTCTCAAAATCATCGAACCAGTTACAATGGTCCAACCTATACACACTTTCAATAAAATCAGCTGCACAAATTACATGTTCCTCGTCAATAAGAAAAATGACCAAATTTTGTCTTCTCAGTACTTCATAGACTTCGAAAAAACATTTAAACAAGTTTTCTTGAAAGAAATAAAATCAGGTTGCAGTCAAAAATTTATGAGAAAACATTTCTGTTCTGGCTAATATGCAACAAATTATTTAAACAAAACTTTGTTAAATAATGTGTAAATATTGTATTATTAAATCAATGAATTTAAATAAGAAAGTTGCTTCATTAAAGAAAGCTACACTAAAACATTTGCTTATAAGGGACTGTCAAAGTTAACCTTTTGATGTTTTATGTAGAAAACATGCATAGCTTTGCATTTATGCCTACAAGATCTCAAGAATAATGTACATTTTAATGCCAAATATACTGGTTTTAAATATAAAAAGCAGTGTTTACATTTTTTAAATTTTGTTAATTCTTTTTAAAATACTGAAAGAAAATCTTTAAGCATTTTTGAATATATCAAAGTTCAAAGACAACAGAGAATAAAGAGAGTGACCTTTTTCTTCCTCTATCTCTAATAGTATATACAACATTAACAAATGAATCCTTCCCTGATTTAAATGTCTCACCTGAAAATAAGCAGGCAATTGATATAACCACTTGTCCAGTGTTCTGGTTGAACGACATGGTAAAATTAATGCTGATTTCTTTCAGCTTGAAAGTAATAAGTCAAAAATATTGCTTGATAAGGCTTCATGGTATTTCTCCTGGACTAACAATACCACTGTGATAGTCAAAAAGTTCACAGCAGTGACTATTTACTAAGAATTCTCATAAAAATTAATTTATACAGGGAGATACTGATGACCTACAACTGCACTATTACAAGATCGTTGACTGTAATTGATTTGAAGTAGTATTTCAAGTTCAAAACAAGTCAAATTGATAATCAAAACACTGTAAAATCCAAGAGGGATGCAGAAGGAAATGTTGAAATCAAAAATTGTACATCCAATATCGACAAATCCCAGCACACATCTCTCTGCTATCAATCAACTGTGATACTCAAAACCATCCGATTTAAAAAAAAAAAAAAACGTTTTTCATTTTTATCAGTTACATGCTCATGCATACAAATCACCAACAGTGATTTTTTTTTTTTAAAGTCTGTCTCACACATGTGCCATGACGGAATTACTAATGGCAACCTTGACCATCACTTCACTACATTGACATACACCGTCACTGGTAAGTCAGCTGCTCGACACGGTCATGGATATTGTCTAGAAAATAATCACTTGTTTGCTGTCCTCCTTGGAGGTCCTTTCTAATTCTT